AACCACAGCTCATGTCATACCAATGGCTAAAGACTAAAAGCTTTCCCCTAAAACAGGAATGAAGATGGGAACGTCAGCTTTCACCACTTCTACTCAACATGTTATTGGCCAGGCCAATCAGGCAAGGAAAAAAAAAAAGTGTCCAGATTTAAAAGGAAGACGTAAAACTCTATTCCCAAATGACATAATCCTATATACAGAAAATCCCAAGGAATCCACACAAGAAAAAGTTCAGCAAAGTTGCAGGATACAAGACCCAATATACAAAAATCAATTTTATGTCTATACAATTGCAATCTAAAAATGAAATCTGGCCTGGCGTGGTGGCTCAAACCTGTAATCCCAGCACTTTGGGAGGTTAAGGTGGGTGAATTACGAGGTCAGGAGTTCAAGACCAGCCTGGCCACTATGGTGAAACCCCATCTCTACTGAAAATACAAAAATTAGCTAGGTGTGGTGGCATGTGCCTGTGATCTCAGCTACTCAGGAGGCTGAAGCAGGAGAATCACTTGAACCTGTGAGATGGAGGTTACAGTGAGCTGAGATGGCGCCACTACACTCCAGCCCAGAGAGCAGTGCAAGACTCCGTCTCAAAATAAATAAATTAATTAAATTGAAGACCTAAATAAATGGACAAGTATCTTGTGTCCCCCAATTGGAAGACTTGCTAATAAGATGGCAATATCCTAAACTGATCTACATATTCAACACAATCCCTTTCAAAATCCCAAAAGGTTCTTTAGTAGATATTGACAAGATCCTAAAACTCATATGAAAATGCAAGACACCCAATCTTGAAAAAGACAAAGTCAAAGGACTCACATTTCCTCATTACAAAATGTATTACACTGCTGCAATAATCCAGACAGGGTGTTACTGGCATAAAGACTGATGTATAGATCCATGGAACAGAACTGAGTACCCAGACATAAACCATCACATTCACGTTCAACTGATTTTCAAAAAGGGTGGCAAGGCAATTCAATGGGGAAAGGCACAGTCTTTCCAACAAATGCTGTTCAGCCAACTGTACATGCAAAAGGAGGCTTGGATCCTACCTAATGTCATCTAAGAAAATTAAGTCAAACAGATCGAAGGCTTGTATGAGCTAAAACCATGAAACCTGTCTGAGCTAAAACTATAAAACTTTTAGAAGAAAACATAAGCTCCCTGGTTTGAATTAGGCAATCAGATGCAACAAAAGCACAAGAAACTAAAGGGAAAAACAAGAAAATTGAACTTCATCAAAAATTAAAAACATTTGTGCTTCAAAGGAAGTCACCAAGAAAAGATAAACTAGGCCAGGGGTGGTCACTCACGCCCGTAATCCCAACCAGCGGATCACAAGGTCCAAGTGATCAAGGCCAACCTGGCCAACACAGTGAAACCCCCATCTCTACTAAAAATACAAAAAAATTAGCCAGGTGTGGTGGCGTGTGCCTGTAGTCCAGCTACTCGGGGGGCTGAGGCAGGAGGGAGGCGGAGGCTGCAGTTGAGTGGAGATCACACCACTGCACTCCAGCCTGGGTGACAGACCAAGACTCCACCTCAAAAAAAAAGAAAAGAAAAGAAAAATTAAAAAGTGAAAATACAACCCAGAGAATGGAGAAAATATTTGTAAAAAAGCAGATCGGGGCAGGGACCGGGGAGGGAGGATTAGTGAATGCCTACTCATGAGTATGGGGTTTATTTTTGGGGTGATGGAAATGTTTTGGAATTAAATAGTGGTAATGGTTGTACAACTCTGAACATACCAAAGAACCCCACTGAACTGTACATTTTTAAAATGTGAAGTTTATAGTAAATGAATTATATCACAATAAAAATAAATCATCTGCTCCTGGACTGATACTGGAATATGGCAACAGCTATCAGTGTGAAGACATTTTCAAAGATGAAACACATAAAATTGTATCACAGATAAGCACTTAACAGATAAACACTTCCAGTAATTTTTACGACAAGGAACATTAACTTTGAACCCCAATTAAGCAAAATGTTATCCCCCCAAAATTTTGTTCTTCTAATTAGCAGATCCGTATTACAAAAAAAGAAAGCAGTCAATTATATTTTGACCTTTGTCAATAAAAATTTGTGGAGTTAGCCGGGCGCGGTGGCTCACGCTTGTAATCCCAGCACTTTGGGGGGCCGAGGCGGGTGGATCACGAGGTCAAGAGATTGAGACCATCCTGGTCAACATGGTGAAACCCCGTCTCTACTAAAACTACAAAACATTAGCTGGGCATGGTGGTGCGTGCCTGTAATCCCAGCTACTCAGGAGGCTGAGGCAGGAGAATTGCCTGAACCCAGGAGGCGGAGGTTGCGGTGAGCTGAGATCGCGCCATTGCACTCCAGCCTGGGTAACAAGAGCGAAACTCCGTCTCAAAAAAAATAAATAAAATAAAATAAAATAAAAAATAAAAATTTGTGGAGTTATCCTTGATTTTGCTTCTTGGTGAACGAATCTGAAACACTACCAAGCCTGGCCAGAGAGTTTGCCACCCCTGGAATAAACCACCCAGAGCTGACCTGAGCCTGCCTGACCCTGTCTGGGTGAACGGCACCACCACGCACCTTTCTGTTCAAGCAGCGAGCCGAGCATCTGGCTCAGGCCTAGTCCCACAAGTCGTCCCTGTGCCCTCTTCATCTGCCACATCAAATCAGTGACCACCCGCTTCCTGAGGACTGCATTTGCTGCCTCCACTGCAGTCCCTTCCAGTCCATTATTCACACGGCAGCAGAAAGACAAGGAAGGAACCCAGAGCCTAACAGGCAAGGCTGAGAAGTCACTCCCTGCCCTGAAGCCCTCCTACTGCCCTTCTTACAAGGACGAGAATCATCAGCACGGTCTCCACAGCTCCATCAGCCCACCTAGGTTAGCAACCTGCCCCACGTCATGCTGTACCCCAGGAAGATGATCAAAGAACCAATCATTAAATGCTTTAAAAAGTGGTCTTGCAGCTGGGTGCAGTGGTTTACACCTGTAACCCCTGCACTTTGGGAGGCCAAGGCGGGCAGATCAGGAGATCAGGAGATCAAGGCCATCCTGTCTACCACGGTTAAACACCGCCTCAACTAAAAATACAAAAAATTAGCTGAGTGTGGTGGTACGCATTTGTAGTCCCAGCTACTCGGGAGGCTGAGTCAGGAGAATCGCTTGAACCCGGGAGGTGGAGACTGCAGTAAGACAAGATGGCGCCACTGCACTCCGGCCTGGGCAACAGGACGAGACTCTGTCTCAAAAAAAAAAAAAAAAAAGGTGGCGTTGGGGAGGGCGCATGAGGCCTCTGACTCTCTCTTTGCCCTTTCACCTTCCACCACATGGCAGTGCAACACAAAGGCCCTTGACGGATACCTGCACCTTGATACCGGACTTCTCAGCTTCCAGAAGTGTGAGCCGACCAATTTCTGTTCACTATAAATTATCCCATCTACTTACTCCTTTTTGCTCTGTCTTCAAATACACAGGCAGAATCTGACCAACTCTTTTTCTTTTTCCGCAAGTGGGTGACATCAGAACAATGACCAATTCTTAGTACTTTGGCTGTCACTACTCTCACCCAAACGCTTACTACCTCTCAACAGGAAGGTCCTCCCAAGCAAACAGGCATCTAGAGCAGGTGACTCCACCAAACTCCTGTAGCAGCTGCCTGTCCCGCTCAGAGGGACAAGGCGTGACAGGGTCTTCCCCCTTTGTCACTCCATCCCTGGGTCCTCCATATCATCACTGTGCCACAGCACCCTGACCTCGCCTCCAAAGAATAGGTGTTCTTAGGCAGGTGACTCAACCTCTCTGGCCTCAGTCTTGCCTGTAAGGCAGGGACAGTAGTTCCTAACTGGAAGGCCTTCTTAACAATTAAACAGTGAAAACAGATAAAGTGCTTACAGTACGTCCATCAGAGAGAAAGCGTTCTTTAGCTGCAAAAGGGCCTCTGCTTCCTTTGGAAGCATCCCACTGCCTATGCATGGTCCTCTCTGCAACTAGTGGATGGCAGCATTTCATGCAAAGTGTTAATAATCCTGGACATCTCACAAAAGCAGAAACAGTAAAGATGAACACAGAAGCAGCACTCCAGGAAAAGACGTATGATAACCTACAAGAGAAGGGCAATTTGTTGATGGACTTCGAACATTCTGGAACTGTTTACACGTTCTAGAATATCAGAATATGAAAGTGTTGATCTTGATCTTACAATCCATTCTAAAAACTTCTTCCTCGATTGTGCCATCCAAAACAGTCTGCATTCATTGACTAACTGCTCATAAATTAAAAACAAAACGGTGTAAGACAATTCTTACAATAACTAAGGCAGGACGGGCATATGGTGGCTCACAACTGTAATCCCTGCACTTTGGGAGGCCAAAATGGGAGGATCACTTCAGGCCAGGAATTTGAGACCTGCCTGGGCAACACAGTGAGACTCCTCTCTTAAAAATACAAAAAATTAGCCTGGCACAGTGGCTTCTGCCTGTAATCTCAGCTACTCAGCAGGCTGAGACAGGAGATTCAGCTGAGCTCAGGAGTTGGAGACAGCAGTGAGCCAGGATTGCACCACTGCACTCCAGCCTGGCCAACAGAACAAGACCTTGTCTCAAAAACAAAACAAAACAAAAACACTAAAGCAACTTCCATCTACTAAAATGAAGTCTCAGTCACTTTTAAACTTATTTTTATTCTTTGGTTTTTTTTTTTTTTTTTTTTGAGAGACGGAGTTTCACTCATGTTACCCAGGCTGGAGTGCAATGGCGCGATCTCGGCTCACCACAACCTCCGCCTCCTGGGTTCAGGCAATTCTCCTGCCTCAGCCTCCTGAGTAGCTGGGATTACAGGCACGCACCACCATGCCCAGCTAATTTTTTTTGTATTTTTGGTAGAGACGGAGTTTCACCATGTTGACTAGGATGGTCTCGATCTCTTAACCTCGTGATCCACCCGCCTCGGCCTCCCAAAGTGCTGGGATTACAGGCTTGAGCCACCGCGCCCGCCCCTTTTATTCTTTTTAAAATAGACACAGTGTCTTGACACGTTGCCCAGGCTGGTCTCAAACTACTGGGCTCAGGTGAGCCTCCTACCTCAGCCTCTCAAAGTAGGATTATGGGTATGAGCCATTTCACTCAGCCTATAAACAGTCTTAACAGCAAAATTATCATGGAATATATTCACAAACAAGACAAGCAACAGTCTGTTGCTACAAAACTCATCATAAGAAACAAGGCTAGGGATGGATCTGGTTGACACCCAGAGAGCCTACATCCCATCCTCCTTCCTGTTCACCAGCCCTGGAAACCTCAGTAGAGGACACAATGGGCCCTGCCTTCCTTCAGGCAGCAGGAGAGAGCAGGCAAACACTTCCCCTTCTCCCAGGCCCTGCTAACACCCAGCATCTGAGAACAGAGAGGTCTGGGAGCCAGGAAGTTCCACCTCACTTCCTCACACCCCGAATCACTCACTTCGAGGGAAGGGGAGCCTCCCTCCGGCCACTCACTGGAGGCAGCCTCAGTCCTGGCCACCGAGGGCCTCAAAGGCTCTTGTTCTCTGCGCAGCAAGTGCCATGTATTCTTTCAGATTCTGCTCAATGGGCACCTCCGGGCAGCAAGACAACAGAGGAGACCTGTGGCCCAAGTTGGCTGGGCCTGCTATATTGCTCTGCCCACAGCCCGGAGGTGCCAGTGCACACAGGTGGTACCAAACTGACCCATGCACCTCGGCCTCAGAGATCTGAACTGGAAAGGGGAGGCTGCCCTAAATCTCAGTCCAACATGTTTAATGATGACTGACAAAACCAAAAGGACTGCACACCTTGAAGAGAAAAGTTTGGACATGAGGCCAGAAGAAAGTCAGCCAGAGTATATGTGGCACCATAAACAAACAAACAAAAAAAAAAACAGCACAACAGCCGGGCACGGTGGATCACACATTTTAAGAGGCTGAGGTGGGCGGATGGCTTGAGCTCAGCAGTTCGAGACCAGCCTGGCCAACATGGCAAAACCCTGTCTCTACTAAAAGTACAAAAAATTAGCCAACCGTGGTGGTACACACCTGTAGTTCCATCTACTTGGGAGGCTGCCCGGGCTGGCTGAACTACCCACCACGCTGCCCGGGCTGTCTGTCTGTCCTTCCCACCACGCTGCCCAGGCTGGCTGAACTACTCACCACGCTGCCCGGGCCGGCTGAACTACCCACCATGCTGCCTGGGTCTGCTGTCCTAGTAACTTGTCTCCTGACAGTGACTCCACCAGCTCCCAACACCTGGCCTCCTCAGTCCCATCCACCCCCCATGTGTAGCCTAGCCCCCCACACACCTCCTCCCCAAAGCCCATCCATGCCAACCAACCTCTGGGCTCCAATGGCACTACTTCCAAGCATGCTTCTGTGGCACCTGCTGCTGCCTCCAGTGACAGTCATTTTGGCCCAACCTTCTCGCAGGATGTCACTGCTACCGCCATGTCCCTCTGACATCACATGCCAAAGGTCTATGTGGGTATCGGAATATCCAAAAACTGGGAACAACTCAAATGTCGATGTATCGTACAACAAATAAAAAAACTATGCTAAATTCAGACAGTGGAATATCATACAATTAAGACAATTAACCATCTACAGCACTATGCAGCAGCACAGATGAATCTTGGAAACGTAATATTCAGGAGGCTGAGGCAGAAGAATTGCCTGAACCCAGGAGGCGGAGGTTGCGGTGAGCCGAGATCGCGCCATTGCACTCCAGCCTGGGTAACATGAGTGAAACTCCGTCTCAAAAAAAAAAAAAAAAAAAAGGAAACATAATATTGATCAAAAGAAGCCGAAAGATAAGCACAGACTGAATTTAAAAATAAATAAATAAGTCAGACATGAGTAAACACTGTGTGACATTATTGTCTATAAAAAGTTCAGAAACAGACAGAAGTACTCAAGGTGTCAGCAGACAGCAGTTAACCCTGGGGAAGCACAGAACAGGCACGGGGAGTGAAAGGTGGCTTCTGGGCTTCTGAAATATTCTCTGCTTAGTCCAGGTACTGAGTACATGTATGGAAATATACACATAAGGTATGTACTTTTCTGTGTGTGTCATACATTAATTTTAAAAGCCCAGGTGGGGCACAGTGACCAATGTCAATAATCCCAGCAATTTGGGAGGTCGAGGCAGTAGGGTCGCTTGAGCTCAGGAGCTCGAGCAGCCTAGACAGCATGGTGAAACTCCACCACTACAAAAAATACAAAAATTAGCCAGGCATGGTGGTGCACACCTGCGGTCCCAGCTACTTGGGAGGCTGAGGTGGGAGGATCACCTGAGCCCAGGGTGTTGAGGCTGCAGTGAGCCATGATCACACCACTGCACTCCAGCCTGGGCAACAGAACTAGACCCTATCTCAAAAAACAAGCAAACAAAAAAACAAAGCTCAGGTCCAGGCACAGTGGCTCCTGCTTATAATTCCAGCACTTTGAGAGGCTGAGGCAGGTAGACCATTTGAGTCCAACGTGGGAAACATGGTAAGATCTCATCTCTAGAAGAAAAAAAAAAAAACATATATATATATATATTGCCTTTCTTCCTGCAGCCTGACTTCATTTCACCATCTCTTCATTCTAGATCTTGGCATTCTTATGCAAAGGAAATGCTTCCATGTTTCTGTCTTCTTTTATCCTTTTTTTTTTTTTTTCATGAGACAGAGTCTCGCTCTGTCACCAGGCTGGAGTGCAGTGGCACAATCGAAGCTCACTATAACCTCCGCCTCCCGGGTTCAAGCGATTCTCCTGCCTCAGCCTCCCGAGTAGCTGAGATTACAGGTGCCTGCCATCACGCCCAGCTAATTTTGTGTTTTTAGTAGAGACAGGGTTTCACCATGTTGGCCAGGATGGTCTCAGTCTCTTGACCTCATGATCTACCCGCCTCAGCCTCCCAAAGTGCTGGGACGACAGGCGTGAGCCACTGCGCCCGGCCTTTTATATTTGTATGCTCGTGATAGACATGGAATCCCACCATGTTGCCCAGGCTTGTCTTGAACTCTGGAACTCAAGGAACTTGCCGACCGTGGCCTCCCAAAGCACTAGGATTACAGGCATGAGCCACTGTGCCAGGTCAAAAAACTTTTTTTTTAATTGACTAGGTATATTGGTACATTTCTGTAATTCTAGCTACTCAGAAGGCTGAGGCAGAAGGATTACTTGAACCCAGGAGTTTGAGACTACACTAAGCCCTCATTGCACCACTGCACACCAGTCCCAGCCCAGGCAATAGAGTAAGACCCAGTCAATAATCGATTAATAAAAATTTAAAAATTAGGCCAGGTATGGCTCATACCTGGAATCTCAGCACTTTGGGAGGCTGAGGGGGGACGGACCACCTGAGGTCAAGAGTTCGAGACCAGCCTAGCCAATACGGTGGAATCCCATCTCTACTAAAAATACAAAAATTAGCCAGGCATGGTGGTGGGTACTGTAGTCCCAGCTACTCGGGAGGCTGAGGCAGAAGAACTGATTGAACCCGGGAGGCAAAGGTTGCAGTGAGCTGAGATCTCGCCACTGCACTCCAGACTGGTGACAGAGCAAGACTCCATCTCAAAAACTCAAACAAAAATGAAAGAACAATATCAGTTATGACACAAAAAAAAAAAAAAACGACAAATCTGCATCTGATGGAGCCCCTGGACCAGGGCTAGCCAACTGAAAGACAATGTGACCCACAGAGGGAACCATGTATTTAATTCATTTTCTAGTTGTCACTTTTTTTTTTTTGATACGGAGTCTCGCTCTGTCCCCAGGCTGGAGTGCAATGGTGCAATCTCAGCTCACTGCAACCTCTGCCTCCAGGTGCAAGCGATTCTTCTGCCTCAGCCTCCCAAGTAGCTGGGACTACAGGCGTGTGCCACCACGCCCCGCTAATTTTTTGCATTTTTTGTATTTTTAGTAGAGACAGCGTTTCATCATGTTACCCAGGATGGTCTCAATCTCCCGACCTCGTAATCCAACCTCCTTAGCCTCCCAAAGTGCTGGGATTACAGGAGTGAGCCACCACACCCGGTCTGTCACATTTTTAAAAACTAGAAACATACCAAATAACTTTAATTTTTTTTTTTTTTTTTTTTTTTGAGACGGAGTCTTGCTCTGTTGCCAGGCTGGAGTGCAGTGGCACAATCTCGGCTCACTGCGACATCTACCTCCTGGGTTCAAGCGATTCTTCTGCCTCAGCCTCCCGACTAGCTGGGACTACACGTATGTGCCACCACGCCCGGCTAATTTTCGTATCTTTAGTAGAGACAGGGTTTCATCATGGCCAGGCTGGTCTTGATCTCTTGACCTCGTGATCCGCCCGCCTCAGCCTCCCAAAGTGCTGGGATTACAGGCGTGAGCCACTGTGGCTGGCTAAATATTTTATTTAACCCAATATATCCAAAGTATTATATATCAACATGTAATCAATATTTTTAAGGTATTAATGTCAACATTTACACTCTTGTTTGCAATTTGTATTAAAAATCCCAGGTGTCACAGGGCGCGGTGGCGCGTGCCTATAGTCCCAGCTACTCAGGAGGCTGAGGTGGGAGGATCGCTTGAGCCCAGGAGTTCTGGGCTATATGCACTATGCCGATCGGGTGTCCACACTAAGTTCGGCATCAGTATGGTGACCTCCTGGGAGCAGGGGACCACCAGGTTGCCTCAGGAGGGGTGAACCAGCCCAGGTCAGATATGGAGCAGGTCAAAACTCCTGTGCTGATCAGTAGTGGGATCGTGCCTGTGAATAGCTACTGCACTCCAGCCTGAGCAACATAGCAAGACCCAGCCTCTATTAAAAAAAAAAAAAATCCCAGGTGTCTTCTGCACTCACCGCACATCTCAGCTCACACTAACCACATTTCAAGTGCACCAGAGCCACACTTACGCTGGACATCAGCAGCTCTAGACGGTGTCAATGACAGGCATGACGGGGGAGAGGGGCAAGTTAAACACCACCATTAAGATGCAATCAGCAGAACAAGGTTCTAGGAAACGCTGGGACAAATGAACCATTATCTTTAAAACTTAATTGCGAGAGAAAAAGACGTGGGAAAAAGTAAATATAATAAGACACGGAAGAGAAATCAATATAGTGAGATTTAAAAGATCTCTACCAAGACCAATGAATAGACCATATTTTGTTCCTAACTTAAACTGAAACAAGAAATCTGAACACTATTTATTGACTGAAATATGTACATTAACTGAAATATTTAGATAAAATATGCCCGAGAACTGCTTCAATAAAATTGCAGATAGGGTAGAGACGACAAGGAACAGATGAACCAGGACCGGCCTTGGGAGATAACTGCGAATGCTGGGGACAAGCAACAGCGTTCACTACGCTATTGCAGCTACTTCTGAGTAAGTGTGAAAAAATGTCATAATGAAAACCCTAAAATATCTATACCTGTATTTGCTTGTACGATCACGCGATGCCTAATGAGGGGTACATTCTGAGATATGCGTCCTCAGGTGATTGTGTCACTGTGCAAACCTCAACGGTACAGCCCATTACACACTGAGGCTGCATGGCATAGCCTGCCGCTTCCAGGCTACAAACCTGCACAGCGTGTTACTGTAGGTTTTGTAGGTAACACAATGATATCTGTGTCTAAACGCACAAAAGGTAACACACCACCCTACTACAAAACTAGACTATGACACAAGACCAGGCAGTAAGGACTTTTACCCCGGGCAGTAAGAATTTCTAGCCTCAGGCCAGGTGCGGTGGCTCAAGCCTGTCATCCCAGCACTCTGAGAGGCCAAGGCAGGTGGATCACCTGAGGTCAGGAGTTCGAGACCGGCCTGACCAACATGGAGAAACCCCGTCTCTACTAAAAATACAAAATTAGCCGGGTGTGGTACTACATGCCGGTAGTCCCAGCTACTCGGGAGGCTGAGGCAGAAGATTCACTTGAATCTGGGAGGCAGAGGTTACAGTGAACCAAGATCGCACCATTACACTCCAGCCTGGGCAACAAAAGTGAAACTTCATCTCAAAAAAAAAAAAAAAAAAACTTCTAGCCTCTATTATAATTTTTTTTTTTTTTTGAGACAGGGTCTCAGGGTCTTGCTCTGTTGTCCTGCAGCCTTGACCCCTCACCTCAGCCTTCTGAGTAGCTAGGTCTACAGGCACACACCACAATGCCCAACTAATTTTCCATTATTTTTTGTAGAGACAGGGTCTCATTCTGTTGTCCTGCCTCGGCCTCCCAAAGCGGTTGGATTACAGGCATAAGCCACTGCATTGCCCATACTTTTTTTCAGTTTTGAACCATGTAAGTGTCCTATATGCTCAAAAAATTAAATTTAAACACCTATATCATGACTAACTCATGCCACTGAAGCCAAGCCTGCTCACGGCCCCCTATTTCCACAAGTCTCCCTTGATCCACTATCCACACAGCAGCCAGGGTCATCTTTTTAAAATATCATTCCACGTCTAAAATCTTCAAGGACTGTCTACAGTGGTTATGAAACATCTCAACTTGTAACCATGGTGACAAGGCCCCGGATAACCTTGCCCTGCCTCTCCAGCTTCATCTCATGCCACCCTCCCCTCTGACCTTGTACTTCCACTGTGTACCAAAGGATACAGACCTCACCCAAATCACAGTAGAGGAAACTGGGACTTTTATATGTCAAACACCATGCGGCCACCAGAAACACCAAAGACATGAATGCATGTCACACAATACATGACAGAGGAAGTACAATGGCACGTAATCACTGATTACCACCAATTTTAAATACAAACAATACACTCACGAGGATCAGGAAAAAAAAGATGACAAATATTTGGTGTTCTGAGGTTTCTAGGTTTTCTAAATTTGCTAAAATGCCTAATTTTTTTTAATGTACACTTTGTATACCTTCTCATGCCAATTCATGTCTCACATCCTTTAAGAACTAGACTACGTGTTGGACAAAAGCTGTTAAAGGGAAAAGAGGGCCTGGACTAACTCATCTTCCCAAGGAACTTTCCCCACAAATGTAGCCGCGACAATCACAGCCACACAGCAGCCTCTTATTATTATTTTTTTTCCTTTTTGAGATGAAGTCTTGCTCTGTCACCCAGGCTGGAGGGCAGTGGCACAATCTTGGCTCACTGCAACCTGTGCCTCCCAGGTTCAAGCGATTCTACTGTCTCAGCCTCCTAAGTAGCTGGGACTACAGGCGCACGCCACCACACCCAGGTAATTTTTTGTATTTTTAGTAGAGACAGGGTTTCACCATATTAGCCAGGATGGTCTTGATTTCCTGACCTCATAATCTGCCTGCCTCCGCCTCCCAAAGTGCTGGGATTACAGGCGTGAGCCGCTGTGCCCGGCCCTCTTCTTGTTTACTTTTAACTGACTCCATCTCATTTCGTACTCAGTAATATCTGCTCTGTTATATCATTAAATTTTGTAAAATCAGGGACCAATCTCAAAACTTTGTATGTCCTCTTACAAATACGCGGACAGCACTGCATAAACAGAAAGTGCTCAATAAATGTGAACTAGCCCCTCGAAAACAGTATATTAAATATACTGTGATCCGAACTTACCAGCCCATTACAAGTGGAATACAGAAGGAAATCCAAAACCTTTTCCAGAATAAAATAGCAGCTGACAGCGATGCTCCTGGGAAAGTGGCCTCTCATCTAGGAAGACTACATGTCAAAGGAAATGCCCCTTTCGAAGAGGCAGAGGGGCCACTTTAGGGTTTGTTTTTCGAAATCCAAAAGGGATTACGGGTACAATAGTAGAGATGGGGAGTTTCGCCATATTGGCCAGGCTGGTCTTGAACTTCTGACCCCAGGTGATTCACCCGCCTTGACTCCCAAAATGCTGGGATTATAGGTGTGAGCCATCCTGGCCATGTTTGGTGGACGTTTTTTTAATATATGAAAATACTAAAAGTTAAATAAAAGCAAGAAGACTTTTTTTAATATATGACAATACTAAAAGTTAAATAAAAGCAAGAAGACTTTTTTTAATATATGACAATACTAAAAGTTAAATAAAAGCAAAACAATAACAGTTCTCAGTCCTGGAACTGATGCTTTCTGTACCATACCTGCCATGGGTCAAATTAACTGAGCTCTACTAACTATTCTCAGTCAGATGCTGTGGCTCACGCCTGTAATCCCAACACTAGGAGGCTGAGGAGAGCAGATCACCTGAGGTCAGGAGTTTGAGGCCAGCCTGGCTAACAGTGAAACTCTGTTTGAAAGAAAAAAAGAAAAAGAAAATGCTTCTGATCCTCCCCCTTCTCTTAGCAAAAATCAAAGACACGAAAAACAGGAAAGAGACACACAAACTCCAAGATATGTGAATCCCTAAATAGAACACGAATAGGAAGATGGATGGCGGGTAGAGGAGCACTAACCCACCCCAAACAGCAGAGGAAGAAGAAACTTAAATACAGGAGTTGCAGCTGAGCAGCCACAGGCTGACCCCAGAACACATAAAAGGGTGAGAACAATGGGAATGAGGACTGCAGCTACAAAGGAGTGTGGGCAAAACTCCGCCTGAGAACAGTTGGCCTCTCAGGTCTCCTCCTCAGGCAAGTTCTGCTCTTCTGCAGCCACAGGGCACCAGACGTTTAGCCCCAGAAAAAGGTCCACCAAAAATGGCCAGGATGGCTCACACCTATAGCCCCAGCATTGCGGGTGAATCACCTGAGGTCGGAAGTTCAAGACCAGCCTGGCCAATATGGCAAAACTCCATCTCTACTATTGCACCTGTGGTCCCAGCTACTCAGGGGGCTGAGGCAGGAGAATTGCTTGAGCCTGGGAGACGGAGGTTGCAGTGAGCCAAGATCGTGCCACTGCACTCCAGTCTAGGCAACAAAGCGAGTCTCCATCTCAAAACACAAAAACAAAATTAACTGGGCATGGTGGCACACGCCTGTAATCCCAGTTACTAGGGGCAGCTGAGGCACAATTGCTCGAACCCAGGGTGTGGAGGTTACAGTGAGCCGAGATCACCCCACTGCACTCCACCCTGGGCAACAAGAGCGAAAGTCCATGTCAAAAAAAAACAACTAGCAGCCAACCATCACCCTACAGTGAAAAGCAACAAGTACACAAACCCCCAACACTCAGCTTTCCATGGTGAGTGCCTCATTCTCCATGTGGCAAAATGGCTGAGGACAATCAGACACTGAAGGAAAAGCTACATCAAGGGAGAAAGACTAAGAAATGAGGCAGCAAAGAAGAATGAATGCAAGGTAAACACAAAAAATAAAGGAAACAATCTTTTTTTTTTTTTTTTTAAGAGACAGAATCTCTCTTACTCTGTCACCCAGGCTGGAGTGCAGTGGCATGATCATGGCTCACTGCAGCCTCACCTCCTAGACTCAAGCACTGCTCCTGCCTTAGCCTCCTGAGTAGCTGGGACTTCAGGCACACACCAGCTGGTCATAGTGTTCATGCCTGAAATTCCAGCTTTTAGGGACTTGCTGTGTTGCACAAGCTAGAATACTTTTTTAGTTTTTTAATAATTTTAACTGTAATTTTAAAATTTTAATCATTTAATTAAAAGAGATAAGCAAAAATATTATATACATAAAACAAGAACAGGAGATACTAAAAAAGAATAGAAAACAATAAAGAATATAAAAATACAACAACAGAAGTTAAAACTTCAGTCTAAAAAATTGGAAAATAGTCAAAAATGCTCCCCCAAAACAGAACAAGACCAAGACATGACAAGAAAATATATATTTTTTTCTTTTTTAAAAAAAGTATGTAAAAAGAAATAGAGATGGGGTTTCACCATGTTGGCCAGGATGGTCTTGATCTCCTGACCTCATGATCCACCCACCTCGGCCTCCCAAAGTGCTGGGATTACTGGCGTGAGCCACCGCGCCCAGCTGAAAATATATTTAAGATTAGAAGACTAAATACAGGAAGTTTAACCTTCAAATAAAAGAAACAGAAAAGGACAACACAGAGAAGACAGTAAAGAATAAATTGTCAGCCGGGCGCGGTGGCTCACACAAGTAATCCCAACACTTGGGGAGGCCGAGGCGGGTGAATCACGAGGTCAGGAGTTCAAGACCAGACGGGCCAACATAGTGAAACCCCATCTCTATTAAAAAATACAAAAATTAGCTAGGCATGGTGGCTCGTGCCTGTAACCCCAGCTACTTGGGAGGCTGAGGTAGAACTGCTTGAACCGGGACCCAGGAGGCGGAGGTTGCAGTGAGCTGAGATCACGCCACTGCACTCCAGCCTGGGCTACAGAACGAGACTTCACCTCAAAAAAAAAAAAAAATTCCTATAATGAAAGGGTGTCAATCTTCAGATTTCACAACTACTTAGGCACCTGCATGATATGTGAAAAAAGGCTAGCACTAGACATATCATATTAGGAAAATCACAGATGCAATGATCCCAAAGGTTTAGCAGGGGAATAACGCTTACAAAGGGTTAAGAATGAAACTGGGCCTTGCTGGGTGTGGCGGCTCACACCTGTAATCCTAGCACTTTTCAAGGCTGAGGAAGGTGGATCACCTGAGGTGAGGAGTTCGAAACCAGCCTGGCCAATATCGTGAAACCCGGTCTCTACTAAAAATACAAAAATTATCCAGGCATGGTGGCAGGCGCCTGTACTCCCAGCAACTCGGGAGGCTGAGCAGGAGAATCACTTTAACCCAGGAAGCAAAGGCTGCAGTGAGCCGTATCGCACCACTGCATTCCAACTTGGGTGAAAGAGCGAAACTGTCTCAACAACAACAGCAACAAAGAATAAAACTAGGCCAGCCTTGGCTGATCATGCCTTTAATGCCAGAACTTTAGGAGGATGAGTTCAAGGCCAGCCCGGGCAACATGGCAAGACACTGTCTCTACAAAAACAGAAAAATCACAGCCAGGCACAGTGGCTCATGCCTGTAATCTCAATACTTTGAGAGGCCGAGGCAGGCGGATCATTTGAGGTCAGAAGTTCAAGACCAGCTTGGCTAACATGGTGAAACCCTGTCTATACTAAAAATACAAAAATTAGCTAGAGGCCAGGCATGGTGGCTCAAACTTGTAATCCGAGTACTTTGAGAGGCCAAGGAGGGTAAATCACTTACTTGAACTCAGGAGTTCGAGACCTGCCTGGCCAATATGGCAAAGCCCCATCCCTACTAAAAAAATACAAAAATTAGCCATGCATGGTGATGCAGACTTATAGTCCCAGCTACTCAGGCAGCTGAGACAGGAGAATCACTTAAACCAGGGAGGTGGATGAGTGGCACGAAATGGTGCAACTGTACTCCAGCCTGGGCAACAAAGTGATGCAACACTCATCTAAAAAAAAAAAAAAATTAGCTGGGCACAGTGGCGCCCACCTGTAATCACAGCTACTCAGGAGACTGAAACATGAGAATCACTTGAACCAGGGAGGCTGCAGTGAGCCAAGATGACACCCCTGAACTCAGCCTGGGCGGCAGAGTGAAACTGTGTCTCAAAAAAAAAAAAGAGGCCAGGTGCAGTGGTTCACACCTGTAGTCCCAGCACTTTTTGACAGTCCAAAGCAGGTGGATTACAAGGTCAGGAGTTTGAGACCAGCCTGGCCAATATGGCAAAACCCCATCTCTACTAAAAATAGAAAAAAATTAGCCAGGCAGACCAGGCGCAGTGGCTCACATCTGTAATCCCAGCACTTTGGGAGGCTGAGACAGGCAGATCACCTGATGTTGGGAGTTTGAGACCAGTCTGACCAACATGGAGAAACCCCATCTCTACTAAAAATACAAAAATTAGCTGGGCGTGATGGCACATGCCTGTAATCCTGGCTACTGGAAGGCTGAGGCAGGAGAACTGCATTAACCCAGAAGGGGGAGGTTGCAGTGAACCGAGATCACGCCACTGCATTCCAGCCTGGGCAATAGAGTAGGACTCCATCTCCAAAAAAAAAAGAAAAAGAGGCCAGGTGTGGGGGCTCATGCTTCTAACCCCAGCACTTTGGGAGGCTGAGTCAGGTAGATCACCTGAGGTCAGGAGTTCAAGACCAGCCTGGCCAACATGGTGAAACCCCCGTCTCTACTAAAAATACAAAAAAATTAGCCAGGCGTGGTGGCAGATGCTTGTAATCCCAGCCACTCAGGAGGCTGATGCAGGAGAATCACTTGAACCTGTGAGGCAGAGGTTGCAGGGAGCCAAGATCACACCACTGCACTCCAGCCTGGGCAACAGGGCAAGATTCCATCTTGAAAGGAAAAGAGAAGAAAAGAAAAAGATCAACCAGGTATGGCAGCACACGCCTGCAGTCCCAGCTACTATCCGGGGGGCTGAGGCAGGAGAATCACTCAAGCCTGAGAGGTCGAGGATGCCGAAAACTATGATTGCGCCACTGTACTCCAGCCTGGGCGACAGAATAAGACCCTGTCTCAAGAAAAAAAAAAAAAGGACCAAACTGGACTTTTCAAGTACAACAATGAAAACTAAAAGATACTGGGGCCACGACTTCAAAATTACTTCCAACCTGGAATTTCATACTAGCCAAACTCACTAAGTGCACTGGTACAATAAATACATTTGCTGCCAGGCACAGTGGCTCATGCCTGTAATCCCAGCACTTTGAGAGGCTGAGGCAGGCGGATCACCTGAGGTCAGGAGTTCAAGATCACCCTGGCCAACATGGTGAAACCCCATCCCTACTAAAAATACAAAAATTAGCCAAGTGTGGTGATAAGCACCTACAATTCCAGCTACTCTGGAGGCTGAGGCAGGAGAATCACTTGAACCC